TTTATCGCTATAATAAACAAGTGCATATAAGTTTAAAAGCTAATGCTAAATAACATATTATTCAGGATGAATATTTTGATATTAATCGATATTCCTTTTTAAAAACATCATCCTTTTAAAAAGTTCTGGAGAAATTCTTGTTCTCTTTGATGTCATTAAGTTTCCAGCATCACTGAATAAACGTTCACTTGGGGTGGACATTGCTGGAATGGCTAGATGAATTCTTGCAAGTTTAGATAGTATTGGAAATTTCTTCGAATATAAGTCCCACCATGCTAAGAGATCTTTTTTGAGACTTATTTCAGGTTGTCTCATGTATTCATCAATTTTATCATCTATTGGGCAATCCTCTTTTTCCAACGATTTTAACAAGTATGGTATATATAGTAGATTTGCAGTAACCATAAATTCATCAGATACTTGTTTTTCCAAGTTTTGATTGTTATCATCAAGCTTTTTTTCATTTTGATCTATCTCCACAGTTTTTTTGTTATCATATAATTGTCTAAGAAAATTTTTAACAACAATTCTATCTATATTGTCTATATAATCAAGTGATTTAAGACATGGGTCTAGTAATGCAGATACTGATTAGGATAGTAATAACATAATTTTTTATACAAATTATGTTTTAGTTTTTCTAAGAGGCCTGTAGTATTTACTGGTTTGTTTAACTTAATTTGAGATTGTTTATTTTGTGATTCCTCTTCCTCATAATCATCAAATACATTATGATCTTTAATATTATATGATTCATCTTCATTTACTTGATTTGATTTAAAAATATTTTTCAATTCTCTTACAACCCAATGCATAAGACTGTGTATTGCATAAAGGAACCGCCCAAGTATCTGGTTGTCTATAATAATTAATATTAAATTAATAAAATTAATTTAATAGCTATATATTAAACTTTTTACTTACTTCTTCGAATGGTCCAAGAACTTGTAAAAGTTCTTTTGTTAGATTGATTTCTCATAATCATTTTCCATCTTTACAATCATCAGAATTATCATGTGATATATGATAAATGATTAAAAGCTCAATATAAACCTTAATTTGAACTAATTGAATCCAAGCTAAATAAGAACTATTCCACCGAGTTCTACAATCTGAAATGCAATTAACTAAATATTCGGCAGTTTCTCCTGCATTCTTTAATTATATTAAAAAAAATTAAAATAATATAAATATTAAATAATAGTACTGAATTTACTACACGTATTATATTTGGGTTTTTTTCTGAATTTCTTCTAATCGTTCAGACTGTTTAGGACGTAAGAAAAAATCAATCAAACGTTTAGCACGGGCAATTAAAGATTCTACTAGTAATAATGACTTTCCTATTAATAATTGTAAAGTATGAGAACTGCAACATTGCTATATAACTTTATCCATTTTCATTACAGCTTTTTTTATATTTGAACTACTATCAGTAGTTATAGAATATACTTTTCCACAAAGATCCCAATATTTAATAATTTCTTCTACTGTCTCATGAATATGATCAGCTGTATGAGGATAATGAACATATTGAATTGTAAGAGTTATTTCTTTTAATTTAAATTGACAATCAATGTATAAGCATGTAATTCCAATATAGCCTTGACGATTTTTGGCTGTCCATAAATCCATTGTAAGTAAGACTTTAAGTGTATTATGTTTAATAAATTCTCGTAAAATAGGAATTAAATAATTATAAGCTTGATGAATAATTTGCTTAAATAATTTAACATCAGGAATTAGAAATGCTGGATCAAGCCCATTTATAAATCGACAAAAAAAATCACTTTGAACAATAATTAAAGAATATAAATCTGCTATGAGCCAAGTAACAAGTAATTGCTATAATTTCTTTTATCACTTTTTATCATAAGGATGAATAGATCTTATCTAAATTTTATCAAATTAATTGTATTAATATTAATGTCAAAATTAATATATATAATATATCAAATATATATATTAATCTACTATTTGAGGAATTTGATCAATTTTTGTTATATCATGTTTAGCACTTAAATGGTTAATAAAATTACCAGTTGAGAAACCGGCTTTGTATTTTCTTCCACATTCTTTATCATTTAATACTTCAATTTTACATATTGAATATTTCGTCCATTTGCCTTTCTTTTTATAAAGTTCTTGTCAAAAAAATGTCTACACCCAACTGATCTTTCCTGATAAATCCAAATAAACAATTTCTTCTTCGTCAGAAGATTCGTTAAAATCAGAAATATTAGAGTCAGGAATATTAAAATCAGAAATATCAGAGTCAGGAATGTTAGAATCAGATATATTTTGTCTTTTATTAGAAGCAGACATTTTTTACTGAAAGTATTAGAAATAATGATAAAATAAATAAATAAATAAACATATAATAAACATTATTTATAGTTGCTGATTCATAATATGATTATTATTTATTATTATAGTCACTAATTAATTTAACCGAATATCCAGATATCTGATAGATGATCAAAGTCTATCTGAGTATAATTAATTTACGGATAGTTTATTTATAAATCTACATAGGATTGGAGGATTATATGGATAGCTAGGATTTTAAGGCTATGGATTGCTACTCTAACCAGGAGATAGTGCTTAGCAAAATCAAACTTTTTTTTGACACTCAAATACATGTAACGATCTGGCTTTTAAATCAATACAGTAATATGATAATGCAATTATACAGTAATACTGTATTGCTGTATTGATTTAAAAGTCAGCCCATTATATATATTTGAGCATCAAAAAAAAGTTTGATTTTGCCAAACACTACCGGAAGACAAGTTTCCTGATATGTACTCAATAGCGCGCCATAGATCTGCCAAATATCTGGGTAAGATATCAAGAAATAGATCGATATTAGTAACATAACAACACATATTGAGATATCCCAATATCTTATTCTTAGGCCCAAAGTGTTACAGCTGTTCTTACATATTTTGAAACAAGCTAAAAATTTGTCATTTCCCAAAATCTCTTCAGTTTCGTCCTAAAGATCACCTAACTCTTCAGAATCACGTTATTGTCTTTGGATTAGAGTTGGGCACCGAAACCTGAAATCTCTCTGAAATCTTAAAATTAAAATGTTAATAACTAATGCATATTTACTATAAAGTAACCAAAACATTTCTGAAATGCAATCTAATTATCATGTACTTTATATTTTATAGCTGTTTTCATAAATTCTGGGACACCCTAAAAAAATTTGCTGAAGTCTATTCGGCCGAAGTTGATAAGTAATTGATTTCAGGATTCAGTAGCAGATAATATCAGATACGTAATTTAATAAGATCAGGTGACTAATATATATTACAATACAGCAATAAGACTAAAATCGATATTCTTTGACATGATCTATTTTCGCTCAAATGAAGCCTTTATTTATTTCTCAACGAAAACTCATTTTTTAAAAATTATATAAAATTTCAATCCCTATTCTTTGGAAAAATCTATTTTCGCTCAAATGAAGCCTTTATTCATTTTTAATGATTTTTTGACGAAAATTCAGGTTTAAAAAATTGTGTAAAATTTCAATTACTATTTTTTGACAAGATCCATTTTCATTCGAATGAAGCCTTTATTTATTTCTAATTAATTTTTCGATGAAATTTTTGTTTTTAAAAAATTAAATAAAATTTCAATTAATATTCTTTGGCAAGTTCTATTTTCATTCAAATGAAGCTTTTATTTATTTCTAATTATTTTTTGACGAAATTTTGTTTTTAAAAAATTGTGTAAAATTTAAAATCCTATTCTTTGACAAGATCTATTTTTGTTCAAACAAAGCCTTTATTTATTTATAATTATTTTTGATGAAAATTAGTTTTAAAAAATTGTATAAAACTTCAATTCCTATTCTTTGGCAAGATTCATTTTCGTTCAAATAAAGGCATTATTCATTTCTACTATTTTTCATTTCTTTGTTGAAGAAAAATTCAGTTTTAAAAATTAAACTAAATTTCGATTCTATTCTTTGCAAGATCCATTTTCATTCAAACGAAGACATTTATTCATTTCTAATTATTTTTTGTTTCTTGTTGAAGACGAAAAATTCATTATTAAAAAACTAAACTAAATTTCGATTCTTATTCTTTTGGGCAAGATTTATTTTTGTTTAAATGAAAGCATTATTTATTTCTAATTATTTTGTCAAAGATGAAAATATATAAATAAATATATACATCAATTTTTTATTTCAATTTAGTTTATCATAATTCTTCATGCATTCTCAACAGATATTAATAATAACTAGTCGAAAAATTCATGATTATATTTAAGTTTTTTAATAGCAGCACCTGTTCGAGTAATATAAGAGTCTAGTTTATATTCAATTTCTTTTTACATTTCTTGTTAAGGTTTATTGGTTGACATGAAAGTTTTTTTCATAAATTTTCGTACAAACTAAACGTACCAAACATGTTGAACAAGCATTCAAACGAAAATTTAAAATTATTGACATTATTGTTATGACTAGTGATGCCACTGAAATTGATTTTTAAAAAAGGCCTATTTCATCTCTATTAGAGCAAATTAAAATTTTTTATAAGAAAGAGCAAATAAAATTTATATATTTATACTCCTTATAATTTCATCTATTCAAAAAAAGTGTCAAAAAATTTTATCTTTTAAGTAAAATAGATCAAAAACAATTTCATCTTCAAATTTTAATTTCAGGTTTTTGAACCTGAAATAATTTCGTCGGCATGTATAGTTATGACATTGTAAAATAATCATTATAATCCAAAAATAGCTTTTCTTAATAATGATCATATCCTGTATACAGAAATCAATCCATCACTACTTATTCACAACACCTACCTTCAAAGATTTAATTACAATCTATCTTCAGGCAACATAAAAACAACAATCAAAAAACTCCATATTGCAACTAATATAAACTTATGATACACTCTAAACAGAATTCAAAGATTAGTGAGTGCTACCTCAAAAATTTGTTGGGACCCAATCTTTCAATACTTAAGGTTCAATGATCAACCATGACAATGCTACACAGACCCTAAAACATCAACAAACAAAAATTTTAAGTTTAAAATCATAATAAATGAGTTACCCAATCAAGTTAATTTATTCAAACGCCACCCTCTCAAACACTCTTTGTCTTGTTGCAAACATTGCAATAATGCAATAGAAATGGACACATATTGAATTACTTGTCCTACTAATACAATTAACCTATCCACACTACTAACTAATATTTTAACCCAATTTGTATTCAAACATAACCTTAATATTCCTAATACTAACAATTTTATCCAAGTATATTATAGAATTTATATACAGAACCAAATACCTATTGGAATAATAACTGAAGAAATGCTTACACCCATCTGTAACCATAAATCAGCTATAAATTTCTCACCCAAACTTCACCACAATATACTTGTAGAATTATGAAAGTCTATTTGGATCCCAAGCAGGATTCCTTCTCCCAATAATAATACTACAATCTCTTCCTCTCCACCAAACTTGATGTTAGAAATCCCACCCCATCTTATAACTAAAGAACTTTAATTACAAAGCAAATTTCACACTTGGCAAAAAGATTATATTAACTTCAACTCATCTCCTCATTCAATTCTAAATTCATAGTCTAGAGGTCTTTCAGCCTACCTGGCTAAGGTTAAGGTCTATAGTAAAGTAGCCCCATCCTCACTTCCCAAAAAATTTATGTATACTTACTTTGTAAACTCTGCATAATGAATAATAAAGGAACTGAGGAAAAGACCTTACTTAAAAAAAAAAAAAAAAAAAAAAATAGCTTTTCTTAATTATTTTATTATACCGAAATCAATTACTTATCGACTTCGGCAAATTTTTTTAGGGTGTCCCAGAATTTATGAAAATAGCTGTAAAGTTTAAAATTAAAATTCTAACCCTTTTAGTATAGTATAGAGTTTCAAAAAAGGTTTCAGGGATTCAAAAAGGGTTTCAGGATTTTATATATAGTTTTGGGTT